TCCATTCAACTTTTACCCACACAGAAACTAAACATTTGAAACCCAACTTTCTAGTTCAGAAGCCTTCTTGATATCGGCCAACACTCCCAATGAGACATCTTTTTTTTTGATAATGTTAACATTGTATTGAAGGATAAGAGAAAAACAAAAAGACCCAGAGGGTCAAAGTACAAAATGTCACCGAGGCATGTGACCAAGTGCAAAAAGTAAAAGACGCAGGATGAAATAAAGTAAAACAAGTCCACCTGACATCTTCCTGTTAAACTTGTGCGGTAACATAAACCCTACCTCTCTGTGCTCAATCCCTGGCTCGGCGATGCATCAAGTGACCCAGAGGATTCAGATTCAACCACTCAGATTGGGAATCCTTCTACTTGGTTGATTCTGATGAGATAGAACAGATTGATCAAGCATAAAACGACACAAGGAGTCCAAGTCAAGAGGTAAAGGTTGCAGAGAGGTAAAGACCCTCTCTTGAAACGTAAGTTACAATAGGCCTGGTTCATCTAACTGGGCACCCCTCTACCCTCAACCTAGCTCTTCAACCACTGAGGAGCTCTCCATAGATTCTCCCTAATGTGCCTACCAACCCCTTCCCCCTACCCTAAATGAAGATCTTATGCTGGAATCAGAGCTTTAGTGATGCCTCAAAGAAAGCCTTCGCCTTCAACCATTCCCTCAAATATTCTCCAGATATCCTGGCTTTTCTAGAAACAAAATTAGGCCACCCACCTCTACTCATGATCAGGCAGTCGTTGGGTCAACAACCATGTACTTAAGAATCCCACCTGCTGTAGGGGATGTCGGGAGGCTTTAGACCCACATGGGGTCCAACCATACTTCGTAAAATGACATCTTTAGGGGCTTTTTCAGTAACAGTGGTGTTGTTGTGAGCTTCTGACAACCATTCCTGTAAATTGATAGTGGCTTACCGTCCAATGGCATCCTCTTCGTATGGTCAAACCATGCAGAGCATCGCATCACACTCAAGCCTTTTGCCTAAGCTCACTTTGACCAGTTCCCCATCTTTCTCTATATGTCCCCCGTCTTGGGCGGCAATGGGCCAATCTGCTTTGAGATGATGTGGCTGCAAGATCCAGACCTACATTGACTGATTTGACTTGGGTGATCGTCATTTTAGGTCCATGGTTCGACTGGTGTTAGGCTCTATAAGAAATCACAACTGCTCAAAGCCAAGATCAAGCAGTGAATTAAGGAGCATTTCAGACGCTTATCACTAGAAAAGGGGTTGCTTCCTCGATGAAATATCACATATGATAACTTGGAAGAAACCAATCTTTTACTGACACAAAGAAATGGGAGAATTGGAGGAACTTTTTAGGGTATTGAAAATGGAAGCAATCTTTTAGCACCAAAGCTCTTGGGTAAAGTGGTTAACTGAAGGAGACTGCAAGTCTACTTTCTTCCGCATGATAGCCAACTGTAGTAGAAGGTCCAACAGCATTCTTATACTCAAACATAGAGGCATAGGACCTCAACCAAATTGTCATCAACTACTTCAAAGAGCTGTTCTCTATGCAATAGTTCCCTAGACCTAAGATTTCCAATTTTAACTCCAGAGCCTGTCAGCAGTTGAGGCTGAATGGCTGGAATGTTTGTCCTCAATTGAGGAAATCCACAAAGCTATTGTAGATTTAGCTAAGGCAGATCCTTAGGCTCTGATGGCTTCCCTGTCACCATATGTTACTGCTTCTGGGGAACCCGAAATCAGAGTTCCACCGAACAGGAGTAATCAAAAGGGGATGAATGCCATGATTCCCAATGTAGAAGGGACGAAAGAGATGAGTTTCCAGCGCATAAGCCTGATCAATAGTTCGTATAGGATCAAGAGCCTCTGGATTCTGCCTTATGCTGAACATGGTCATCAGTCCAACTCAAGCTGCCATTGTCCAAGATCATCCAATTTCGGATGATGCATCCACACCAAAAACACCTCAAAAGCCCCAAGCTTAATCTTGAAGCTTGACTGGGACAAGGCATATGACTACGTTGATTGGGACATCATAGATGAAAGTTGCAATTGAGTGGATTCAGCCAAAGATGGAAATTTTGGATCTCTGGCTGCATCAAATCCGCCCACTTCAATGTCCTCATAAATGGTTGCTTGCTAAGGTTTTTGTAACCTTCCTCAGGGGGCCTTCGTCAAGGGAACCCATCGCCCCTTTCCTCTTTTCAGTAGCTGCTTAAATTTTGAGCAACTCGATATCCAGGCTATATTCCCAAGGTATTCTTGAAAAGCTTCCATTCTTCTAGCGGGGTATCCCATCTTCAATACACAGATCATACTCTAGTGTTCTGCAATACCAACCAAAATCAAGTTAAAAAACTATGGCTGTTCCTCAGATGCTTCGAACTACTCACAGGCCTCAAAGTTAACATGTCAAAAACCAAGCTGATTGGGGCCAATGTTCCTCATGGCATTACCCTAACCTTGGCAGAAAGATTAGGCTGTGATACAGACACCATCTCCATCAAATATTTAGGTCTTTCCCTTTGTGGGGGCAAACTTCCTAAGCACCGGTGGGACGGGGTGATCGAAATGTTTGAGCCGATTGACTACCTGGGAAGGCCGTTTCTTATACTTAGAAGTGAAGAATAACCCTCATAAGATTGATCCTCTCAATATTCCTGCATAACAGTGGTTGCTGTTCTGTGTGTTGCTCAGGGTAGGTAGCCAACAAACTTGAATAGCTCATGCAGGATTTTCTCTGGGCAGGCAGTGGGAATACCCATGAGTCCCATCTTGTTCAATGGGAGACAGTATGCGGACCAAAAAGAGAGGGCATGCTCGGGACAAAAACCTCAACACTTCTCCAGCAGAAAAATGATTGTGGCGCTTGCTACCGAAGAGGGGCATCTTTGGAGAGATGTCATCTCCCACAAATATGAGCTTTATGACACTGGTTGGCTTCTAAAAAGCTCTGTTAGTGGCCGAGCTTGAGGGCCTGATAAGGGCATGCATGGAATTCAAGAATAAAACCCTTTTTATCGCCAAGACTGGAGACCGTATCAGGTTTTGGAAGGACACTTGCTTGGGTGATTCGCCTTTTAAAGGCACGTCAGACTTGTATTTTTTAACCCCAGACCAGGAAGCATCCATCTTGCAATCATATGACTCCCAAAATGTTTACACTGTGGTTGCCAAGATGATTTAGGCAAGACCTCTGGGATGACTAGCTACTAGACCTGTTTGGCTGCTTGAGGAACTAGAACACAATTTTGCCCCCTGAACAAGGGAGGCAAAAATTCATATGGTCCGCATCCCCAACTGGCTTATTCTCAGTCTCCTCTTTCTATTTGGCCTTAGCCCCTCAATTGCTGTTCTCAACTGTTTCAGTGAGAGCCTCGTTTCCTGCAGTACCACCGAAGGTTCAGGCATTTAACTTGCTCGTTATTTCAAATTTTGGAAGCTCTCTATCTTCAAATCTCATAGTTCTGGAATTTTCTATCTTTTAGAAACATGAGAGAATTAAATATTGGAAATTAGATGCCCCATTGAGGACATAATCCTGCGATTTATGGCTGTGAAGAGTCGCTGGACATGAAATCCGGGCAACTTCTATCATCAAATTGCAATCATACAGAAGACGTGTTCCGTCACATGATCCAAGAGATAGCTGCAAGGACCAAAGCACAACATTGGCCTTATGCTGAACTTCTGAAAATGGCCCCAAACCTTAATAAAAACCCTTGAAATTCATCACTCATGTTTCTTAGACCCAAATAATCACTATAACACAATTGCTCTGCATGTCATGACCATTTATTATGAACAATGAGAGTTGCGGCAGATGGAAAGTGGGTTATAAATGGCTCGTGGTGGGGTTATTGAAACCAATTCGAATTGAACTCCAATTGAGTTCCAGTTGCATGAAGCTTCATCCGCATGCTATCAAAGTTTTTGCCAACCTTCCCACCAAATTTGAATGGGTCTGAATACAATTTGAGCCCAAATCTGAGGTCTGCCATGAAGGTCCCTTGTTAATATACGAACACAGCGAACTCAGACAAAAGTACCACTCCAAACTGAATGAAACTTGGTGTATGCTGTTAAATCACCTTTAGTAGGCCTTTTGAAAAATTTGAGTGCTTTTAGACTTCATTTGGTCCATTAAACTAAAGTTTGCTATGAGACTTGCGGTAAAATCTGATATCGCGATAAGGTGGACTCCAAACTTTTTGATTTTTGGAGTATCAACGCATTTCGCTATTTCCTGGGTATATCCAAAGTTCATGATCTCCTGTTTGGTCTTAGTTGTAGTACTCACTGGAACAGTGTTTGGGTCAATTTGTTTTTTGTTTTCTTAATTCTTTTGCTTGTTTTTCAAATGGTCCTTTTTTTTCTAGAAAAAGCTTGTGGGGGAATCAGAAGAAATACCGTGCAGACCATGCCATGTTGAATATATTCATACAATTCTTTCATACGTCTTCATGCTTCTGAATTCACTTTTTGGCTTGGAGGTTTTCAAATCCCATGGTAGTGTCTTCTCTGGTAATATCTCTCATTCATTTGATTCTTTAAGAAGTTTTGTTTAGGGGTAACTTATTGATGCGATTCCATCTTGGCTTCGATGAGGGCAAAACATGTTTTGTTTTTTTACGGAGGTTATTCTTCTTTGGCCACAATCCACAGAAGTGGGCTCATAATGGACGGGGAACAAACATGTTGCGATTGAGTTACCGCATTTGTGTGTTTAATGAGCATTAGAAGTCCCATTTAATGGTCCATTTAGATTTGCCTCTTGAATATAGGGATATTTCTGAATCTGCATCAGAAGTACATTTCAATCTATAACATAAGATTCACACAAATTAGTGGCTTTCCTGAATTTGTATCTTAAAGTGTAGCTATCAGATTCCCATCTGTGACACTATGAGGCATATTATGTGCTTGATGCTTTCTTCTTCTCAGATACAATATATCGGGTTTTCATGCATCTACATTGTGCCCCCTAAGATTGTTCTTTTCATTGATATAGGAGATCCACAGGGAGCCACGTTGGCAAATGAACTAGATGAGCAGGAAAGCAATTTGAGACAATGCATTGAAGTACTTAAAAGTATTGAAGCTAATAGAGCTTCTCTGATAATCCAACTGAAGGAAGCACTCCAGGAACAGGTAAGAACTAAGTTTATTGTTCGAAGATTACCTGTCTTAAATCTCACGACTCATGCAAGTACATGTTGATTTGAGAGTCTTGAACTTACGATAAAAAGAAAATCCTGTATTCTTACTGAATAACTTGCAGGAATCCCAACTGGAGCAAGTTCGTAATCAACTAAAGGTAAAATTAAGAAATATTCTCTCATCCTTTAAGAACGCATTCCTTCATTTGATGTAAACTAATAGTTGCCATTGTATGTTGGACTGTCGCACTTAAAATGTGCTTGTCGTTTGTCTCGGCTGGTCATGGCACTTCTCTCTCTCTCTCGCTCTCACACACACACTCTCAACAGGTAGCACAGGCCCAAATTGACCAAGCCAGCAGAATCCGGCATCGCCTCGCCACCGCACACCTCACCACCTCATCAGACCTATCACCACCCCCCACCAACCCCAACCCAACACCAATCCTGAACCTGACCCCCCCACTTTCTAACTCAAACACTAAAAGCGCATCAATTCCTGAACCCCCCAAGAAATCAGCTGCTGAATTAGCTGCCGAAATGGCCGCCAAGCTCACTGCCTCAACCTCATCAGCCCAAATATTCTCCTCTGTTTTATCTTCCCTTGCAGCTGAAGAAGCTGCCTCTTCCCAAAAATCTGGGTCATTTTTTGGGCAAGAAGGCACACCTGAAAATTGGAATGAGAGCCCATTAGAGAAGAAGCCAAAGCTTGAGAAACCAATGCCCGTCTTTACTCAAATAACCCAGCAAATAACTCAAGGCCTGGCCTTTCCGCAACCTCATATGCAACAATATGTGCAGCCTAGTGGAGGGCTAATGATGGGCTTGGCTTATAGTTATGGGCCTGGAGGCCCACCATTGCCCCCACCTCCTCCATTGCCTGTTCATGCTATGATGGGTCCTAGGTCCAATGGACCTGTGCATGGGCCTGGGCCTGGGCCAGCAACGCAACAAATGATGCTCCCAGGGTTTTACTCCAATCCAGGGACCGGATTCTACATGCAGGGGAATAATCCACCACCTGTACCCAGGTAGTATGAGAGAGAGAGAGAGAGAGAGAGAGAGAGAGAGAGAGATTTTGACCCAGGGAAAGAGAGCGATCTTAACCCTTTGTAAAATTGTTTAGGTTTTTATTTAGCTGGTATTTGTACTATAATTTATTGATACCATTTCCAGCTGTGGAATTCTTCCTCATCTTTCTTGAGTCTTATGCTATCTGGGGGGCTGGAAATTGGGTTTGATTAGGATAACTTTTGTACTAGTAGGAACACCATTTCTCACTCTTTAGTATAACTTTAGCTGTAATCTATGGTGAGTAGCTATGGGTTTTATTTAACTGGTCATTGTACAAGTTGTGTTTTCCTTTTTTCTCTCGGGTAAGCTTTCTATACTTTCCCTACAGTATAAAATTTATAAACTTCCCCCTATCCAATCGTCCATTCTGACTGGACGACTGAGATGGCTCAATCACAATGTCATGCCTCTACACTATTTTATTTTTAATGTTTTTTCTAGAAAACATTTTTGTACTTGTAAAAAATATATAAAAAAAATTCCCAATAAAATGAAATAACCAAAATGCCTCTGAAAGTTTTAGGGGTATTTTGGATATTGTATTTTATCAAAAATATTTTTTTAATATTTGTTTTAGGTACGTCCCATTGAAATGATGATATGTACCAAATTTCATATTCATATAATTTATAGAAAAAATAAAATACTTATAGCTGTCAAATTTTAGATCAAATGGTCAATGATTCATTTGATCTAAATTGGATGGCTAGATGGAAAAAGTAATATCTTCTATATAGTAGGGGAAGTATAGAAACCTTTCCCTTTTCTCTCATTCTCTATTTAATCTCTAGTGATTGGGCTTTACTTGTTTGGGCCTTTGTGTAAGCACTGCTTTATTTTTTCTCTTGGTTTCTTATTTTCTTCATTAGTGATTCTCTTGTAATCTCTTAGAAGGAACTAGTTTTTTGTACGGGGATTTAAGTTTTGGTGTGATGAATAATGGGAATGATTTTCCAAGAGATTTCTATCATGTTTTCGTCATCTTCTTGTTGTTTACTTGTAGTGTAATGTGATGCTTCATTTCAGAAAAAAGAAAGAAAGAAGAGTGTAATATGATTCTTCGATGAAAGGGAGCGGTTTCGGCAAAGCCGCTGCTTTACGCTATTTGGTAAATCCACACTTCAAAACATTGCCAAACAACATATTTGGCACCAAAAATACCTATCGATGACTTGCAAAGTCATTTTCAGCTCTAACTGTAGAATTTGAAGCTCAAAAATAGGGTATATTATGTTGATCTTAGAAGATTTGAAATAGATGGTCCAGATAGTGTTGCAAGATGGATAAGTTTTAGGGCGGGAATTTGGAAACCCAGGTCTATGATCATTGAGGTGAAGATTTTGAAACTTAGTAATTCAAATCCATGATCGTTGAGGTGAAGATGATCGATTGTAGGGTTTTTGGCGGAAGCTATCTTTTTGAGCAATATTTGAGGTGCTGCTTCAGGGGCTCTAAAAAATACTTCCTCGAAAAGGCCAGCCCATGGAATATAAGGACACGGTATCTATGAGTTCATGTCGAAATGAGTTGGCTCTTAAAAATCTATTTTTGAGATGGATTTTTGGTTTTTATTTTTAAGGACATGTAATCTCTAATGCAAAGATCATGAATATAAAAAAATAAATAAATTTTGAAAATTCAAAATAATAATTCTATTAAAAAAACATTTGGACGGTTAGTTTTAATTGTGTTTAGATGGACCATTTATTTGTATTCATCTTTAAGATGGATGTTTTGTACCTTGGGATCACATATTGTAGAAATGTGGTCCAATGGTACTTAGTTTTACCATTATCAGCATTTGCATTTTGAGCAGTTTGCTGCGAAGTCCTCAGCCATTGGATGTCAACAATGAGCGGTTGAAGGGTGATTTCCCTTGGGTGGTATTGGAGTTGCTAGTTTGCAATTTTGGTATCACGCTATGAACGGTGATTTCCCTTGATGGTAGAGTTGCTAGTGAATTCAATGCGTGATACCAAAATTGCAACATAGTGTTCATGTTACCAAATGTTTTAGACTTGGGCAAGATCGGGTCCAGTTGGCCCTCCTTTAGACAATGGATGGCTGCTGTCACTTGTAGTCTTTTGTTTAAACATTTGTTGACTTGAGAGAGGGAAGGCGATTTCAAATGGTCTAGGAAAAGGTTCGAATGATGACGATGACTTTTTGTGTGGGGAAGAGGGGTTTGATTTAATGAGGGTATCATTAGCATTTTAGCACATGGTTGGAAGTCGATTCAATACAGCACTTGCGAGGAGATTTCGAGTTGATTCAAGTAGAAGGATTGAAAATGACAAGGGTAGGTCCAAAGAGATCTCGTTTGAAATAGTTCGAAAAGATATAGAGATTTATGGCCTCACTGAAAGTATGGCTTTAAATATAGCATAATGGCAAACCAGATATGGGGGCTTATAGCCTCATCATCATAGCTTTTTTTCTCAATTAATTGGAATCGGCTACGCGAATCTAAATCCGCCATTATGCTCTATTAAGAGCCATTTATTTAGTGAGGTCATAAATCTCCATATTTTTTTTCACTACTTCCAATGATGTTCTTTTAAGGTATAAGTACTTCAATTTTAATAGAATTATTTAGCTTGTACACTATGCTCTTGTGGGAGCATATATTGTACACTTATTCGCCAATAGAATACGAACACTACTAAAACATTTTGATTATAAAAACATAGACTTGATTGACGGAGTGAATTTAAGGCCTCTTCATGATGCTAAAGTGATATCAAAATGTTATTATGAGAAGTTGTAGACTTGATGGAAAAGCATATCTATCAGAAAGATTTGCAATATAACTGAAAAGACGTTTCAAAAACCACACGAGGTACTAGACATGCCAGCTTGATGTATCAATAGATGCCTGCAGTCACTTGTAGGATATTGTTTAAAGAGAGAGAGAGATTTATTGATGGTATATGAGAGAGATATATTTATTGAGGGTATATGAGAGAGAGAGATTTATTGAGGGTATATGAGAGAGAGAGAGATTTATTTAGGGTATATGAGAGAGAGAAGGGGGGAGAGATTTATTGGGGGTGTAGCCCATTCGGTTTAAAGCAACATAACATAATTATGAGAGATAGAGAGAGAAAGATGAGGGTATAGTCAGTTCAATTTAAAGCAGCAGAACATACTAAATTTACCCCAAGGAGTAAATAAAGTTTTGCAAGAGACATGGCTCCCTGGCTTGTGATATACATTTCAATCAAAACAAAGCTTTTCTTCATGCAAAAAGATTTCAAGTATTTTTTTTTTTTTTTTGAACGTAACATAACATACCAAACTATAAACAACCCAAGATGTCAACATTTTAGACTTTAGGGCCATTTAAGAGCCATGAAGGTTAAGGGTTGCCAAAATTCAACATCATCTTCCTCAAAGCTTTAGCATAATCCATGAATTTTTCAGCATCAGGGATTGTTTCCTTAACTTGAGGTAGCTCTTCAAAGCTACAAACCCATGCATGAAACATAGGAAATGCTTCCTCCTCATAAATCTTCACCTCAACATCTTCTTCCATGGCCTTGAGCCAAAAGGACCCACAACCCAAAACGATATCAAGAATCCCAACATGGTTCCCTCCGAAGAACTTCCTTCCTTTGAATTGGCCTTCGGTAAGCTCGGCTTCGATGAATCGGAGGCTCTCACGTGCCTGACCGATCGCTGCGCTCTGCTCCTCGCCACTCAGTTGTAAAATTGATCCAACGGCTGGACCAAGCTGCCAAAAAAAAAAAAACATTGTTTGGTAAAATAATTTCTAAAAAAAAGGTTAAAAAGTTGACCTTGTGAAAAAATTTCAATGATTAGATCTAAGTATTTGGGAACCCAAAATCCCTTTATAAAATTTATGTGGTAATTCTAAAATAGATATGAAAATTTTAGATCGCCAAGTCATAAGATGCTCTTTGGTAGGTCTTTTACCAGAGGGAATAACTGTACAGTTTGCTCCGGCTTGGTTATTAGTATGGAAAGCCAAAATATTATTTGTGAAGTATTTTGTTTGTAAGTGGCAATATGAACCCACTACTAGGCAAAATTTGATGGATTATTATTATTATTATTATTTATTATTATTATTATTTTTTTATGAATGGTTTTGATAGGGTTTCACTTTCCTACATTTTTGCAATGCCACTCGAGCTGGCACCATGCATGAGAGAGAGAGTGTATGTGTGAGGGAGAAGGAGAGAGAGGTGTCCATGAGGGTGTGCGTGATAGAGACATGCATATGTGTGTGTGAGAAAGGGAGAGAGAGAGATAGAGATGTGCACGAGTGAGTATGTGTGTGAGAGAGACATGCTGTGTGTTGGATGGAGAGAGATGCACACGCGTATGTGTGTGTGTGTGTGAGACGTGTGTCTTGAACATCGAGAGATGCATGCGTGCATGTGTGTGTGCGCGTATGTGTGTGTGTGAGAGTGAGAAGTTCCTCGCCTTTTCTTCGACAAAGTGAACCCAAAACCGGATAAGAGCACGATCATAGGGATTTTCAGGCATCAATGGATCATGCCTCCATGTCTCCTCAATGTATTCAAGTATTACAACAGACTCAACAACGGCTTTCCCCTCATGAACAAGGATAGGGACCTTCTCATATATGGGATTGTAGAGAGAGAGAGTGGGGCTCTTATCGCTCGAGTCCTCTTCTATGTACTCAAACTCCACACCTTTGAGCTTAAGAGCCACCAAAACCCTTTGAGTGTAAGAGCAAGCCCACATGCCATGCACCTTTACACTTCCCATGGGCTCTCTCTCTCTCTCTCTCTCTCTTCTCAATCATCCAGCTCTCCTTCTTATATATAGGGGAAATTGGTTTTTTTATTTTTTTATTTTGGTTTTTATTATGTCATGTACCTTGCATAACATTAACCACAGTAAATATATTTTTTATTTTTATTTTTGTTTTAATTATTGAATTTCATAGGGAATTGTACCGTGGTCCTTAGTCTATGAGGAGAATTTCTAGGTTGATTAGGTTGGTAGCTTTATTGGGCTTGTCCTTTCACATTAAGTTCCATTTTTATATACTGCATGGGTTCTACTATGTTCAGTTGGTAATTTTTCTTTATTTTTTGAATATTTTTGCTCAATTTTCTTTATGCAACCGATTCAGTATAGCATATGAGGTTTTGGTAAGGCTGCGGCTATCCGTAGACCATAGATCTGGTTTTTCCTGTGGTAATTAATTTTGGAGGGCCTTGCGTAGGCCGGAAAATCCATTTATGTTCCTAACTGTGGAATTTGCAACTCCAAAATAGTGCAACTTAGGTGGACTTAAGAATGCTTGTGATACTTGAAAAAGATGTTCCGTAAAGAAATATTGCAAGATGGATTATTGAGCGCTTGAAATCCATCTTTTCTTTCAGATCCATGTTCGTCGAGGTGAAAAATACAATTACAAGGCTGTTCGTCGAGGTGAAAAAGACAATTACAAGGCTAAAAAAAATGTGCAAATTGATTTGAAAGATCCAAATCAATACAGTTGGTGGGCTGCCAAGGTAGAATTCTAGGTTTTGAAACACAAATGCATAATTTTAAAGGGATTGTATATAATAAGATTATTTTTCTTTTGTATAGGGAGGTTACAATTATTTACAACCATCCGATGTAAAATATCATAGCTTGGGTGTATTACAAAGTTTGAAAAAGTTTTTTTGAATTTCTTTTGAACTTTGAACTTGATCAATAAAATAAATGCAGCTACTCAATTTCACATCCAATCATCAACATTAATAGTGATTTTCTTATATCAAAAATAAATGGTCTCGTCATATACTTTTTCAATTTTAAATAGGCTTTATGAGATCTTCACGAGACTTCCAATTGCTTAAAAATATTGAAGATATATTACATTTATTTTATCTTAGCAGCATACAACTCAAACTTGGAAATCAACTCAATATATTTAACAAAAAAAAAAAACCTGAAAATAAGCAAATTTAAGTATTATTGAAATCAAAAGTTTTCATTTTACCATTCAATACCTAAATTTTCGGTTCCAGGCCTGTAAAATCCCTAGGTAGGGTTGCATCCAACGCATCACATCAAACTGTCGCATCTTATAACTTTGTACTGAAAATCATAGCTTTTTATTTCAAGATTGCATAGAAAAGAAAGTTGCATAAGAAAAGGAAACAAATTTCAAGGAGATCATAGCTATTCACCCATCTAACTTGCAAACGGGTCAGGTCTAGGTCGGAGTAGGTCTGCCAGGTCGATATTGAATGGGATCGACATAGACCCGCCCCGATGGAGTTTGGGTCTTACCCAGACTTGACAGGTTTCAGGACTGTAGGGTTCGTGGTCCAAACCAAGACTCATATTTGTATATGTGGTTGACCTAGAATCAATCCCGATAAGTCCCAAATCAGATCCAAACATAACTTGGTCGACCCAAACGTGACTTGGTGGGTTCGGACCTGAACCAGAATTAGGATAATATGGAGCTGTCGGGTCGACCCGATCCATTTAACACCCCTGAGAGCATGCCTATGTCATTGAAAAGAAAACAGATGGAAAATTTGGAAATGACAGAGAAAGGAACACATGAAGATTAGCTAACACCCCCCTTCTTTTGTAATAAATAAATAACCTAGTCACATGCCTATCTGGGGTTCAAACTTACTATGCAAAAAGCAAAATAAAATATATATATTTATCAATGTGCATTATAAAACATTCTATGAATGATTACTATCTCCACTTGCATTTCAATGTATACAATGAATAGTTATTAAGTTTGCATTACAAGTATTTGAAGTGGTAGTTATTAAGTTTGCATTACAAGTATTTGAAGTGGTCAGTATACAATCCCCCATAGACCATGGTGGGTCAAAAGAGGCCCCATACTGATAAGGTTTCCAATAGTTTTGTTTAATATTAACATTATTATTATTTATAATATAAATTCTTTCCAATCCGGATTAGATTGATTAGTGGCCAATTTGGTATATTTATCTAATTTTTAAAATATTGATCCCTGTGATCCCTAGAAAGTGATACATCTGACATCCAAGGCTCTATTCCTGCCAAAGTTGCAAGTTAACATTGGAGCCAAATATTGGAATTAGTGGCTCGGTTTGGGATCCAAATAACCTCAACCCTAGCCTAGGTTTAGGTTTATCTTCGACCTTATAATTGGGTTACGTTTGAAATAATATATGTATATAATATCATTTATAGAAAAAAGTTTATATAAGGTGTCAATCTTATACTGTACTAGTAAGGAACACCTAAAAACCAACTAGAGAAGGTTGTTCCATGCTGGAAAACCCTCAATCAATTATCTCGAACTCGAGATTCATATACACAAAAAAAAAGAGGAATTTCTAGTCACAAAAATAATTTATCTTCTAACACATTATCTAAACCATCCATTTTCAAGATTTTAAAGTATTTATAGATCTGCTTGATCATCACTAATGTAGGAAAAATCGAACCGGAATGGCTAACTGGACATGAGATTAGAAGCGGTTCAACCGGCCTAACCAGACAAGTCCTAGGTAGTAAAAAAAGTGTTAAAAATTAAAGCATGATTAAACAAAGTACATCCAAATGCAGTTGAAAATTAATGAAAAATGGATTTTAAATAATCGATTTGTGCCCAGGGGTATTTTTAAAAAAATTCAAAAAATATGAAAAAATATAAAAATAAGTACTAATGATGAAAACAATTTTCAATCTTTGCCAAAATGATGAAAAACATTAAAAAATGCATTACAAACAAAATCCCTTATTTTTTTAGATTTTATATAATTTTTTTGATTTTTTTAAAAATACCCTGCTGGTTCTCCAAAATTGGGTAAAACTGGAACTGGCTAGTAGCTGGTTCAGATCTAACTGGGTCCAAACAGGCATTTAGAATTTGAACCACCTGATTTTTCCTACATTGATCATCACCATTTATGGAACTTTAAATTTTATAATTGGGGGCAACAATAGATTTTCATATCATCGCAAGTCTTTATAACACCAAAAATGTATTTTCATCATGGTTTTGAGATGCATCTTACTTCGATAGTATAAGGTTGACATCATATACAAACCTCATCCTTATATATATGCTATAAAATATTTATAATAGGAAAAAGTTTATATAAGGTTGCGACCTTAAAATGTAGAATTACATATGCACCTCAAAAATCTATTGAAAGGTTGTTTTAATGTTGAAAAGCCCTCCAATTGACCATCTCGACATCGAGTTGTATGGTATGAAAGAAAAATAAGATTTTGAGTCCCAAAAAATATGCATCTTACAATACATTATCTAAACCGTCCATTTTTCAAGATTTTCATATCTTTATAGATCTACTTGATTTTAGCTATTTTTTAGTTTAAATTTTTATAATTAGGTATGAAAATAGATTTTCAGATAATTCTAACAAAATTTTATACCAAAATTACATGTTATGATAAAATTTGAAAGTGCGTAATAATTGGACGGTTTAAAGTTGCAACCATATAGAAACCACACCCTTTATAATATACTCATATTTTTCTTTTATCTAGACTAGTGACAGACCTGACCCACCTGGGTTGAGTCCGAATGACCGAATGCTGCCCTAGGTTGGGACCCACTAGCACCCCACCTCCACGCCCAAAAAGAGATTCTAAAGTGCCCTAACATATCAATGACTTCTTCCATTTGATGACTTGGTAGCCACGTTACCTAACAGTAACTACTGAGCCACTAGCAGTAAAAGAGAGAGAGAGATGGGCTTTTCATTTCATTACTTGGCATCCACGTTACCCCAACAGTGACTGTTTACAGTAAACCCTAAAAAAGCTGTGCATTTTTAATGCAAGTCATTGTGAACCATGCCATGTGTAGCCCATGACCAGCAAGTTATGCGAAGCAAATATTGTTAAATCATTAAAAAAAGGAAAACTTTATATAGAGCCTAAGCTCGAAAAAATCAAATTAGAGCCTACCTCGAAACTTTCACTAGAAGAGGTTGTTTTGATGCTCAAATATCATCAAATTGATCATCTCGACATTAAGATGCATAGATATGAGAAAAACATGGATTTTAAGTTCTAGAAATAGTGCATCTTGCAACTAATTTTTTGATCGTCAATTTTCAAGATTTTCATAGAAATGCTCGATCTATACTATTTTTGAAGCTTTAAATTTTATAACTAAAGATGAAAAATATAATTTAAGGCTATCACAAAAATTTTCAGTATTGAAACCATATTTCTAGATAGTATTTGATGGTGGGCTCTAATTTGATTGTTTAGAGCCTCGGCTCTATACAAACCACACCCTTAAAAAAATCATTTTAAAAATTTATACTTTTTTTTACTTTTGACCGTTAAGGGTAAAATTTCATTGATTAATGAGAAATTACAAATAAGTAACAAAATAAAATGGAAAAAAAAAAAAGGCAAAAAAGAAAATTAAGAAAAGAAGGGAGGAGAAGAATAGAGATGAAGCAAGGGGAGAGAGAGAAAAAAGGAGAAACTATGAAGATCCTAACTTAGCAAGAGCGTCAGTTTCGCCATTCCTTTCTCTATTGATGTGTTGGAAATGGACCTCCTCAGTGCCTATTGACAAAAAAAACTCATCCAAAATCGTAGTCCATTTCCACGAAATCGAAGAGGCGTGTGAGCACCATCGAACTACATTAGTGGAATCCCCTTCAATTAAAATATGTTTCATCCAATAGCCGAGATATCTTTTCTTTTACCACCCTTAACTCAGCCTCATTGATATCACCAAACGATAACTCCCCCGAAGTATGAGAAAATACTATTGTTTTCATGATCTC